GCAGGAATAGGGTTAAATGAAGTAATCAAGATTTAGAAGTTTTACAATTTTTGAAATTTTTAAAACCTCCTTCAAAGTTTTAAAAGTGCTTTTTTGTGTTTAACATCGAGACATGTTTTTAAACCAATAATAATAAATTTTGTGATATTAGTAGTTTTCAAAACTTTTTAAATTTTAGTATTCATCACAAAATTGTAAATTTAACTGCTAAGTCAGGTTTACCATTATTTTACTCAGGTTTACTCAGTCATACAAAATTGAAACTGAAACTAAATATTTTTTTTTAATAATTCACCTCAATGTGTTTGTCAGGAAATCTCACTGTCACTGTGTTACTTCTAAAGATTGACAAAAAAAAATATTTTAAAACATGAAATTATTTTTAAATCATTATGGCTTGCACATTCTTCATAACATAGGAATTGTAATACCAATACCAACAATTATAATGATAAAAATAATGACCATAATGATGATAACAAAAATAATGATATTTATGAAATGATAAGGATATACTAAAACATCATTTTAAAATCATTACAGATATTCCATCCTGTGTAACAAAAGAGCAAACATGTTTTATTAGTTTATTTAGATGCAAATATATTTACAGAATTTATGCTTTATACAAAAGTACTATTTACAATTACTAAATTGTCTGTTTGCCATGGTCAGACGAATGATTTGCATCAAAAATGTCATTCTTCAAATTGTTCAAAGTTTTTCCATAAATCTCTCTTCCTCCGCCCCAACCAGAATCCTCCGCCGTTCTCTCCTAACCATACTCCGCCACTGTTCCGCCACGGCAGACCAAATATAAGATAGCCTACGCCGAGACCAGCTCCAACTCCAACCATTACACCAGAACAACCCAGACAAGCAAGCATCTTGGATTTATCAATTCATAAATTGTAAAAAGTAAGGAGTGAGGGGAGGGTAATAGTATGGGAAGTGTGGTGGACAAGAAGGGGAGGGGGCAATAAATAAGGTGGGGAGTTTGTGGGTTGGGATGGGGGAAAATTGAGTGGGAAGTTTGTGGGTTGGGATGGGGGAAAATTGAGTGGGAAGTATTTGGGTTGGGATGGGGAAAATTGAGTAGGAAGTATGGGGACGGGCGTGGAATTGAATAAAACTGGATGGGAAGTTTGGGTTGGGAAGTAAAAATAGAACATAGAAATACAATGAATCTGATTGTTCCTGTTTATCAGCTTGATTTGCTCCAATAAGAAGAAGTAGAATAAGAAAATGTCTGATAACCCTCATGTCTGATTAACTGATTAATTCTAACTTTAAGCTGATTGTTTAGGTGTGTAAACCTAACTAAACACTATTCTTAATCCTTATCACTGATTGAATCACAAACAGTGACTAAAAGGTTGGATAGATAGATAATTAGATGGTAGTTTTTTAACATTAAGTTCCTGTTTTACGTAAAAGTTGAAAACCATAATATATATTTTAACCATCCATTAACATAAACCAACTTTTTATAGAAGAATGTCTTTAAATCCTTTGTCTGAATAAAGCCTGTAAAACTCGAAAATATTCGTTGTTATCATATCAATGTTTACTAATTCAAAATATCAAGGCCAATATTGAATCTTTTAGACCTTTGTCAGAATGATCAAACTTAATAAATACCAAATATAAACTGAATATTAAAGCATAATTGTATGTCCAATGTAATAAAATGTTCTTCCACACGCACCTCTATGTACATAAGCACAAATATTTACCAGATTTTAGAAATTTAGAATATCTGTTAGTGAAAATTCGATTCTGTCTGTTTGTTTGTCCGATCATAACTCAAGAACCCCTTGACCAATTTGCCTCAAATTTTGATCGGAAAAAAGCTAAAATAGTAATTTACGACCATGTGCGGGAAAACGGCGGGAAGCAAGATATATATAAGATTGCTGTATTTTGATCTAATCTGACCTGCAGCTGTGGTTTATATAAGCATAGGTTGGATAGAACCCGTTCTCTCGCCCATATCCTTTTGGAAGCTCTGAAAAACAAATAAAAATCATCATGCGCATCAATTCCTTTTTCTTGAGGCACAATTTACTTGTTTTTTATTTAGTAAAGAAATTGAGTCTTTGTCACAAACTCAAATTTTCTAATCCCTACATCATAGTGTATACCTTTTAATATTTCAAAGAAAATTTAATCTGACAAAATTCATAGCTTGAAATCTCTACGGTCAACTTCATTGGGTTGCAAAGATATTGGGATTAGAAAATCAGAGTTTGTGGCAAAGACTCAATTCCTTTGAAATAAACTCTTTATGTTGCTAAAATATAATTTCACGGACCAGCTTTTTCATATTAAATCTTATTATTATTTCTTTTTCTATTTCCCATTTAATTTTTTAAATTCTTATTTTGCTACATATATGTTTAAAAATCTTGGAAATTTTTCCTTATTAAAGAAATGTTCATAATCACCTATATCTAAGGAATTAGTAAACATGGCTCCTAACACTTGAAAAATTTCTGATGCACTTACTTTCAACTTACAAACCTAAAAGGATAAATTTTCACGGATTCCAGATAAAATCGAAATTTAGTATTATGAAAAGGATTTAAAGAACTCAAACGTGTTACTTTTATAAGGAAGTCCACAACATATTTGGTATGGTACTGAGTCAGCTGTAGATCTTCAAGTCGTCTTCGTTCCTTGTGATGTTCAAATTTCATCAGCTGATCAAATGCTGACGGATTCGAATCCCTTAAATAGTACATTAATCCATACTAGCTGAAGTGCCTGACGTTACCCATGGAAATTTTATTTTGACTTTTGAAAAATATGTCAAAATTTGTTTAGCCTAATTGTTACTCCCCAGGCACTCAAAAAATTTCAACCCATTCGGTCCAGCCGTTTGGGCAGCTATAGCTGACATATAAAGATTAATATTTTGTATCATTTTAATTATTTCACTTTTTTATTATACCATTGATTTAATCAAAAAATATCTTAAAAAAATGAAAATTTATTAATCAGAAAAGGGTTAGATTCTTATACCTCAGATAAAATAATCTTATCACAGCAATTGCAGCATAGCATGGACTTTCACGCGTCAAATTTTCAATCTGAATGTAATATAGATTTTAACCAGCATGATATAGGCAGAAATATCTGCATTTTGAAACAACATGCTTTGTTCTAGCATCTTATTTTTAAGGCTGAGTAAAAATTCGGTTCCCAAAACAAAAGGGTCAAAATTTTTCATTTGGAGGACTTTTGTATGAATAAAGTTTGTCATCTATAAACAATTACATTGTATTGCATCGATCTAAAAGAATGATTTTTTTAATCAAAATCAAAATCAAAGTCCAATTCTTGAATTTTGCAACTATATCATATTCATACCTTAGCTTTGAATCCAGCCTTGCTAAACAATTTACACTCCACCATGTGCTGACCCTCAGCACACTCTACCTGGCAGAGTGGAAACCTGCAGCCTGGACACAGGTAGCTCAGACAACTGGTTCTACAACATCCCAGGCACTGCGGGATGGATTTGGTGTACGGTCCCGTACTAACCGCCTGATATTAATAATGAAAATAATACAAAAATCTGTTGTAAATTTCCATTAAGATTTAATTATTACAGAACTTTTCCTACCTGTTCCGTAACTATAAGCTCCATTGGTTGAATATCACAGACAGCAACGTAATGTCTTCCCACATCAGAGTTCTGCAATATTTCATTTTATCAAAATGGCCAGAGGATATTCTTAATCGGAATTTTCAACATTATTGAGGACTACATTTTTTACTTTGTCTTTTTTTTCTATGTATTTAATTCAATTTTGATTTTAAGAAAAATTATCTCTTCCTATATTATTATATGATATCAACTACACCTGTTGGATGGTGAATGGAAAGCAGTAATCCTCCCTAAAAAAAGTTATTTAGATATGCAACTCATTAAATTATTTCTATTTGTATCTTTAAAACTTTAGAATTATGAATATCGAGATCAATTCTTGATCTTCTTTTCTTGTTAATCTGCAAATTAATATAATCTTTATTTCGATATATTCAGGAAAATGTCTAAAATTCAACCAATCATAGTGTCATTTCCAAAAACCGAACAGCCAACCATAGCCCGGAAGATTTTGCGCACAATCAAGGAGAGAACTCTCATTGGTCGAAACCCAGCAGGGACATCCAAAAGAATATCAGAAAATCAAATGTGTCAACAGAGCTTCAGAAAACTTTAGAATGATTGATATCAAGATTAATGCTTAAACTCCTGGTTTTACTGAACCCGAGATTATTTTAATACGCATTTTATATCCAAGAAAGAAGTATAAAATTCAACCAATCAGCGTATCATGTTATGATGTAGTCTTTAACTTTTGAAAACCCATTTTTTTTTTCTTGTTTTAATTGTGTCATATCAATTGACCAAAACAATAAACATCGATTAAATAAATGTGTTTTTTTCAATAAAAGTTTGAAGAAGAAGATTAAATAAATGTAAGTTTTGGATAATGATAATAGTCCTAAAATGTGATAAAATATATTTTTAATAAGTTCATTTCATGGTTCATTTTAAAATGAATAAATTTTTATTTGCTTAACTGCTCTAAAAGACGGTTTGTGAACAGCTGACTTTAATTTAATTGGATAATAGTTCAATCGATATAGCATTGTATCTGTAATTGTTATAAAAAACTTTTATACAGTAAGGATATCCAAAAAGAGAGGATTAAGAATAAAATCAAAAGTGTGTACATTGGATACTCAGATTAAGCGATCAGGATTAAGGATATCTCATTCTAAAGTTTTCAGCTCAGTGCACATATTTAGACTAATCAAGCAGGATTCAGGGTATCATCCAACATAAGAGTTTTATAAGAGTGATTTATAAAGAAAAAGAAATGTTAGCCTGCCTTATATGAGCAGATTTGTGGTGTGTGCAGTACGAAACTAGTTTACAGTTTCCGCAGACAGGAGAGGTCACGTGACAAATCAAACAATTTCCCTTTGCCATCTTGAAATTATAGAATAATATCTGAAATATTATTATTTAGAACAACCTGCAGTAAAAATGCAGATAAAATAAAAACAGGTTTTTTTTTAATTCCTACAGTTATGGAGATTCATTTTTCATTCATTATGTTCTCAAGGATTTTTTATCTATAGCAAAACATCTCTTTTTGTATTTTTTCTTGAAGTATTTGGAAAGAAAATGGGGTACTTCAAAATTGTTTTTTTTCAGTAAAAACCCAATCGTTTTTTTAAAAAGTTTGTTCCAAACAATAGTTTGCTAAGTAATAAACGAAAGTTTTTGTCAAAATGTTTTTAATAATTCGTTCGTACAATTAAAAAAGTGTTCAAGTTCGTTCCCACATTTTTAATCGTTCATTTTTGGTCGTTTCTGAAAAACGATAGTTTTTTCATTTCTTTCAACAATCCAGGTCGTTCGTTCATCTCTAGTTTTTCTACATGACACAATTTTTTACAAAAAAATTAGTTCGTTCACGAAAACGATGCCCATCTCTAGACTTAGCACAAATATTAAACTGAGTGCCGTGCAGGTTTTTTTTTACTAGTACATGAAGACAGTAAATCCAGGATTTGTAATTATGAACTATTCATGGAGTACACCGAGTACAGAGAGTATTTTTACTGTGAACTAGTACATGAAGTTAACTGAATAAATATGGGGATTAATATTATCATTCATTAAAACTGTTTTGTAAACAATAAAATGGGATTATGCTTTCATTTCTTTTTAACATATCATCTTTTTCCAGTTTTATATTAAAAACTTTGATCACTTTTTACAAAGACATTGATTTTTTGCCACAAACTCGGATTTTCTAATCCCTATATCTTTGCATCCCGATGTCGTAGACTTTTGATTTAAATATCCATAACGGAACCCTTGAAAGCGTCGCCTAGTAAAGTATGAACTATGATGATATCCATGTTTTTTTTTAAAACTGATTTTTTTCATTTTTTGTTAACTCTTTCAAATTAACTCACGCATTCCTTGCTTCAGAAACAATGGCGGAAATATCAGAAATAAATACTGTTAAAACTAGAAAACTACATTTTCTTGCACATTATTTTTCAGATAAAGTTTAAGGGTACCGTTGTGAATCGTACATGCCTTTTCCTTTCTTTTTATAATGGAGGGTCACTTAAAATTACAACGATAATTCCTCTAAAAACCAAATTCAAATATGTGCACATTGAAATATAGAACTATAGAACTATAGAACTATAGAACTATAGAACTACAGAACTATAGAACTATAGAACTATAGAACTATAGAACTATAGAACTATAGAACTATAGAACTATAGAACTATACAACTATACAACTATAGAACTATAGAACTATAGAACTATAGAACTATAGAACTATAGAACTATAGAACTATAGAACTATAGAACTATAGAACTATAGAACTATAGA